CTTCAAACAGTTGACAACACAGTGTGAGTAACAGTAGGGGGAAAATTAGCATGGGGAAATAGTTTTTAGTTTGTGTAGTGACTCATCCACTCCCAGTCTTTATTCAAGCTTAATTTAATGGTGTCTAGTTTGCAGATTTATTCCAGTTCTGCAGTTTCTCATTGGAGTCTGTTTTTGAAGTTTTTTTTGTTGAAGAATTGTGACTTTTAGGTCTGTAATTGAGTGTCCAGGGAGGTTGAAGTGTTCTCCAACTGGTTTTTGAATGTTATAATTCTTGACGTCTGATTTATTTCCATTTATTCTTTTGCATAGAGACTATCCGGTTTGGCCAATGTACATGGCAGAGGTGCATTGCTGGCACATGATGGCATATATCACATTGGTAGATGTGCAGGTGAATGAGCCTCTGATAGGACCTAATCACATCAGCCACACTATGATGGTGTTCCTTGAATAGATATGTGGACAGAGTTGGCAACTGGCTTTGTTGCAAGGATAGGTTCCTGGGTTAGTGTTTTTGTTGTATGGTATATGGTTGCTGGTGAGTATTTGCTTCAGGTTGGGGGGCTGTGTGTAAGCGAGGACTGGCCTGAGTCAAACTGCATTTTTGGATCTCAGAGAACTGGATGAAGTGTTCTTCCAGAACTAGATGAGGTGTTCTGGATAAGCTACTCCGGGGGAAATTCTGCACACAATATTTTAAAATTCTGCATATTTCATCAAAATAACACAATATAATCATGTCTGTTTCAATTATTTTGGTAATTTATTTCAAAATACCTTTCAGCAAGTATGTTTGTAACAATACAGACAACAAAAAATGATTCAGGAAATGTTTTTTGACAAATAGATTCCTTAGTAAGGATACAGAACTTTGAGTAATAATTAATTTACATTACAGTACAGAAATGTATTTCCCACACACCCCAGAAGCAGTCCAAAGGTTTGGGGGAGTCAGGAATAATGCAGAAGCTGAGGGTAAGGGAAGTAATTGCTGGGAAGGAGCCTGGGAGTGAACCTGGAGGGTTGTTTGGGTGTGGGAGGGAAAAGTATGGAACTGTTTTTTGGGGGGAAGGATTATTAGGGGGTTGTGGATCATTCCTCAAGCAGACCCTGATTGAACCCTAGTCTCTCCCATTCAATTAGGCACATCTGCCCCTGTCCCCCATGCAGCCACCCGTTGTCCCTATATGTCCCTGCATCCCCACCAATGTTCCCTCTAATTTTTTCCATCCATGTGTGGAATAAATTTTGTTTTAGGCACATACCTCGGTGCACATGTGAAACAAAACCTAGATATAATACATATTTTTAAAAAGTTACCATAGGGATAATTACTCCAGCCAGGACAGGTTAGGCATTTTAGAGCTCACTACTCAAAGAATTACATTTAAGTGTAAGAGAAATAAAAATTATGACATGCATAGACCAGTCAAAACACTAAAATAACACTTTGAAAGAATAAAATTACAGAGAATATATATGCATTGCAGGAAGTACCAAGAAGTAACAACAATAATAATACAAGTATGTGTTAGGAGGTGAGTGTGTGTGACACAGAGAAAATGTGTGTGTGTGAGACACGTGGCTGGGAAAAGCTGTTTGCTGTCTCTTTAAGATACTCCCTGAAAGCTCTCCTGCTGTGTCCTGAGTCCTGTTGTCTCCCCTCCCCCATTCTGCGGAGATGGGAGGGGGAGAGAGAGAGAGAGAGAGAGAGAGTGTGTGTGTATGACAGAGACTGTGAGCTGGCTGCTGGGGAAATCTCAGAAATAGTGCACTGTCTCCCTAAGAAAGGCACTGAGACACTCGGCACTCAGACCGCAGCAGATCCGAGTCCTCCTGAGCCAGCCTGTCCCCTCGGCCCTGTTCTGCGGAGATGGGGTACCGGGGCGGGGGTAGGAGGACACCCTGACATCAGCACCCTTCTCCCTCCTTCACTTCCCCCCTCCCTCCGCTCTGCACTTCCAGCAGGAGGGTCCCAGGAGCAGCTGCAGGACTGAGGGACATGGGGGGAGGGTCACCTGAACACATGCTGCTGGCTGTGCACACTCTGATATCATATGTGGTGTGCCACGCGAGGCTCCGGATGCGATCCCTGCAGCAATGGCTAGCGACAGTCTACTCCCAGTCCAGGAACCACCTGGAGAAGGTTGTCACCATCTCTGTGACAGTACTTACCACGCTGCAATGGTGAACTGACCCCGGAAAAGTCCTGGAAGGAGTTCCCTTCATCAGCGCTCCTCACTCAGTCAAGTTGGTTTAGGATGCCTCGGATCAGGGACGCACCTCGGCACCCTCTAGACCCAAGGTATGTGGTTCCCAGAGGAGTCAATGCTACACATAAATGTCAAAGAGCTTAGGGCAGTGCACGGAGCATGCGTGGTCTTCTACCTTACCTGTCGGTCAGAGTGGCCAGAGTCCTCACGGACAACACAGCCTCGATGTTCTACATCAACAGGCAAAGCGGAGCGTGATCTTCAGCCCTTTGCCAAGAGGCACTCCGTCCCTGGGACTTCTGCATCAACCATGGAATCCATCTAGAAGCGTGTCACCTTCCGGGGGCCAGGAACATGCTAGCAGATCACCTAAGCAGGGACTTCTTCTCTCACCACGAGTGGGTGCTCCACCTGAAGGTAGCCAGCATGATCTTCCAAAGGTGGAGAACTCCCCAAGTCTCTTTCATCTATCAAGGTCCACTTGGCTGCTATTTCGGCCTTCCATCCTTTGTTCCAAGAGAGGTTGGTCTTCGTTTACATGATGGTGCGATTTTTAAAAGGTCTGGAGTGACTCTACCCTCAGCTCCGTGACCCAGGGGACTTAAATCTCATACTTTTGAGGCTCCCCGGCTTCCTCTTCAAACCATTGAGGTCTGTTTCTGGTAGCAATAGCATCTGCCTGTAGGGGCTCTGAGATTATGGCGCTTACCTCAGAGCCGACCTAGATGGTGTTCTACAAGGACAAGGTCTGGCTGCGGCTGCATCTAACCTTTCTGCCCGAGGTAGTTTCACAGTTTCATGCCAGCCAGGACACAAGATGAGCGTAGATTACACTCTCTGGATGTCAGGAGAGCGTTAGCCTTCTACCTCGAAAGAACTAAGCTGTTCCATAAGTCGACACAGCTGTTCATCACGGTAGCAGACAGAATGAAGGGCTGTCCAGTGTCCACCCAAAGAATTTCATCCACCTGCATCTGTTTCCGCTATGAAAAGGCGAATGTGCCTTCACTGGCGATTGTGACTGCCCATTCAACTAGGGAGCAAGCCTCATTGGTAGCTTTCCTGGCCAAGGTGCCAATCCAGGATATCTGCAGGGCTGCTACCTGGTCATCCATTCACGTTCCACTACGTGACTACCCAGCAGGCCTGGGATGATGTTGGCTTCAGCAGAGCAGTATTGCAAGCTGCACAACCGTGAACACTGGGCCCACCTCCAGCAATACTGCTTGTGAGTCACCTAGAACAGAATAGACATGAGCAAGCACTCGAAGCTGTAGCTCACGAAAGCTCATGCTCAAATAAATTGGCATCCGATGAAGTGAGCTGTAGCTCACGAAAGCTCATGCTCAAATAAATTGGCATCCGATGAAGTGAGCTGTAGCTCACGAAAGCTCATGCTCAAATAAATTGGTTAGTCTCTAAGGTGCCACAAGTACTCCTTTTCTTCACTCGAAGAAGAAAAATCAGTCACCTGCCTTTCGTAACTGTTGTTCTTCAAGATGTATTGCTCACGTCCATTCCATTACCCTCCTGCCCCTCTGTTGGAATTGCTGGGAAGAAGGAACTGAAAGGGCGTAGGGCCAGTGGTGCCTAATATACCAACGCATGAGCGCAGCACTCCAGAGGACGCCTCTGCTGGCCCTACAGATACCACTAAGGCAAAAATCTCTGACTATGCGCATGGGCACGCACACAGGTAGAATGGAATGGACATGAGCAACACATAAGAACAACGGTTACGAAAGGTAGGTAACCCGTTTTTTCTTTAGAACATTTTATTGTCCATAAATACTAAAAAATAAAAGAATAAAAATTGTCTATTTGCAATATTTTTTTTCTTGTGTGACTTTTAAATTCTTCAATCCTTTATGTCTTACCTTTAATATACTTCCATGTACATTTCAATCATTATCAGGCAATTTGGGCCTTTATAGGGCAAATATTAATGAAGTTATGGACAAGAACCCTTCGTTGGTATATAGTCAAAATTGGTAGCTTTGGATGTGCCATAACAGAAAACTGCAGGGTTTCTTGCAAAGAATACTTAACACAAAGGTGTCAGGGTACTAGCTGTATAAATCTGCAGAGATTAAATAATGACCCTCTTGCTGGAATGAACACAATAATGTTCCTAACTATACAGCCCAGTAAGCATCTTGCTGCTTTTTTGCTAACTCCCTTCCTGGAACTTGTTTGTCTTTCCCATCCCCTTTTCTTGGATCTTTTGGGCTCTCCTCTGATTTCTCTCTCCCCGCACCTCACCTCTTTACTTCAGCCCCCTGATGTCCAAACTTAACTACTCCTGCAGTTCCTTAACATTGCTGTCAGGAGCAGAGTGAAACTGAATATAGACATTACCTTTTGCTTCCTCAGTGTCTATAGAGGAAAGGCTCTGTGCAAGAGCAACTCGGACATGATCCTCAACTGTTGAGTCCTGGGAAAGCAAGCAGTACAGGAGAATTTTAAAAATGCATGATACCTTTGCCAAATGTCAGCACCAATTTCTTGGATAGTCTTTTGAAGTGTGTGACTGTAGTGACAGTAAAGATGGAGAAATTCATTCTCATATCTACCAGAGTTCTCCTTCATAGAACCCTTGAACAGTGGAATGTTGTGCTAGGGGATGTGCGTGCACGCCTAACTTGCAAGGTTCTGTAGCCATGTGACCACACTCTGTAGTGTTGATCTGTGATGGCAGTACATGCTGAAAACAAAAGTTACTGTGGTAAATCCTTTTTTAAGTTTGTGAAACCTATTCACTAATAAGCAACTGCCAACACACTAAATCTCTGTTGCCTGGGAAACGTTCCAGGGTGTTTCTGTGGTAATGGGAATTTGGCTCCCTCTGGCTAGTAGCTGTATGGTTCTTGAGTTATGAAACAGTTTTGTCCTGAACTGAACACAGACCTACAGGTTGGTTGCACTTTTTACTTTTTTAGCTTGTAGCTGTGAACAAACTAGGAAGAAACGTATTTGCTGGTGGTAGATGCTGTTTGTTTTCAGTATGTATTCTTTTTCATAGTTTGAGATGATTCACAACAGTGCTAACAGCTTTCTTGTAAATTCATTAATTGTTTGATTTTTCTTATGGTGAGGCACATAATATTTTGCAGTTTCAAACTAATTTCCTGAAGATAAAATTAATCTGCATATGTCATAAAGAGAACAGGCCACAATGATATTTTTGAATGAAAGGATGTCCCTTGACAATTTTTTTCTTGATGTATAAGATATAGGTGTGTGGTTAAAATGATTTATCTTTATTTATTTATTTTTAAATTCAGGGCTATGTGCTAAATCTGTTAATTCATAATAACTACCCTGTTTACTTAAATATTACAATATGAATAGAAGTAAACAGACTTAGTAGTTTTAAATCAGTATTTTAGTTAATTTGAAATACAAGTCCCAAAATACTCATGAATCTGACATTTTTGAATGGTTTATTTTATGTGTCTTTACTCTGAGAATTAATTGAGTTAACTAAAAGCACTGGTTTGAGACAGGTGGTGTTGGCAGGTTCCTCACCCAGCTCTGCCAAAGGATCTTAATTTTCACCTGCAATATTATTGATGTTGAAATAAAAATAACAGTACATACGAAATCAAAAATATTTCATAAACATGAGTGCCCAACAAATACAGCCCACTGTAGACTTGCTGATTTGAAGCTGTATCAACGAAGTAACAAAGGCTGTCATTCTCCAATACAAAAAGGTATTCCTCAGTCTTTAAATAATGTTGTATTAGTATAATTCTGATTATTTATCACCAAAATGCAATGGTAAATGATCTGACTCACAATATCTTTGGAACAAGAACAAGAAAGAAAAACACACCTCCTCCCCAACACCAGTCTTGAAGCTTTTGAATAGAGAAGCTGTTTTTTCCTCAAGTCACATACATGAAATAAATCACCACATGTCAGACATCATAGATGTCAACTGATCAATTACACATGTTATGCAAATACAGTAATTACCACTACAAAACCAGCTGCAAGTCATGATACAATAAAAAGACTAGAAACACATTTGAATAAAACACAATTAAATTAACCGAATTCCTGATTAGCTATCATCCTAATTAAACAAATAGCCATAAAAAGGGAAAGTTAAAGGAGATTTGTGCAGGTGCAGCAGTCCACCAGCATGTTATCAATTACAGAATTGGAGCCTAGTAGGAGTTGTGATTCAGAATAAAGATTAGGTAAAGTGCTTTTTATAATGCAGCAAAATCTAAATAATTGAACTACAGAATCAATTAAAGGGACGAGTCAAAAGTGCTGCAGTGATCAGTGTTAACATTAATTTTCCTAATAAAACAATCACAAAGAAGCAGAATAACTTGTTAGAAAAGTTAGTGTTAATGTGATCATTTGTGACGTAAGTGTGATTTCACTAAATTGGCTGAAAGGAAAAATGAAACATGTAAATGGTCTGAAATGGAATTTAGATTAAGCCTAAATTTGTGGTGTAACAAAAGGATGTAAAAAGCAAACAAAAGAAACACGATCTTATGATGAGTGACCTTTTAAACACAGTACTTGTAAATTAGAATCTATTGTGTGCACCAGAACATTTTAATACGTTTAATCAATTCAGTAATGTTATAGGAGAACAATATGATGTTACTCCTGGGGAAGTTCTGCACCAAAAAATTAAAAATTCTGCACACAATATTTTAAAATTCTGCATATTTTATTTGTCAGAATAGCAAAATATAATCGGAGCAGTTTCAATTATTTTGGTCATTTATTTAAAAATATCTGTTAGCAAGTATATCTGTAACAATACAAAACAACAAAAAAGATTCAGGAAATGTTTTTTGACAAATAGATTCCTTACTAGGCATATTAATACAGAACTCTGAGTAATAATTCATTTAAACTACCGTATTTCCCGCACTCCTCAGAAGCAGTGCAAAGGGAGTCAGGGATAATGGAGGAGCTGAGGGAGAGAGAAGTAAATTGCTGGGAAGGAGACTTGGTGTGAACTTGGAGGGTTGTTGGGTACGAGTGGAAAAAGTATGGAACAGGGTTTTTTTGCAGGGGAGGGAATGGGGAGGGATTGTTAGGGAGCTTCCCCCATGCAGACCCTGGCTGACCGCTAGCCTCTCCCATTCAGTCAGGCACATCTGCCCCTGTCCCCTTGTGTTCCTGCACCCCCATGTGTCCTTGCACCCCCTGTCCCTTTGTATCTCTCCAGCCACCCCCTGTCCCTTTGTATCTCTGCACCTCTCCCCCATCACTATGTGGCCCTGCACCTCCCTCCCCACAGTGGCCCTGTGCCTCCACTCCCATTCAGCCCCTTCCCCAGTCTGTCTTCCCCCAGTAGCGCTTATGTGCCCCGTCTGACTTCCCTAGTACTGCACGCTGTCTGTTTCCCCATGGCCTCTGTCTCCTAACCTGGTCCACTGTGAAGAAGGCAGGCTCTCTTTCTTCCTTAGCTGGTGGGGAGCTGCTGTTTTGGGCTATCGCAACAACGCCCTCTGGTGGGCAAAAGGCAGAACTGCAGCAACATTTTGGCAGACGTTTTTTCTGTGCAAAAGTTAAAAATATGTGGGGCTTGTTAATTATGTGCACACGCAGCAGCACAGAATTTCCCCAGGAGTAATGATGTAGTAGAATTAAATCTGGGTTTATGTAAGGTATTATAATTCAGGAAAGCCCTAAATATTTTAAAGCAATAATCTAAATAAAGATAATGCAATCACTGGGAAATTAGAAGCTATTAAACAATGTGCTTGGCAATAGTTCGCAGCCATGGACATTTACAATTATATTTTATTAGCAGCCAGGGATTATACCCTATGTTTTGCAGGAGAGCTAATTTTCATAGCTTTGACCCATCTCCCTTCTATTCACAATTATGCAACTTCCCTGTGCTGACTACGATTGCTTACATTAGAAAAGTATGTTTATAACTATCTTTTAATGTAATTAGTGTTCTGTTTTTTGAAAAAAGTTAGTGGCCATCAGGGAGATTTCCAAAACACTTAACGGATTTAGAAGCATAAAGTCCTAATGACTTTATTGACTAGTTCTTTTTTCACCTAGATTTTCTTTCCCACTTGGTTGCTTTGATCCCACTGGTGGTGCCAGTCCCTCCTGTTTCCTCTCCTCCTGTCATGTTTTAGCAACCTTCAGTAAGCTCCTAATTTTCAGCTTTGCCATACAGAACAAGTTGGAAAAGAGAGGTTACTTACTTTACAGTAACGAGTTCTTCAAGATGTGTGGTACTTCAGGGTATTCACTGAGGATGTGTATGCACCTAAGATTTGAAGATTCTTCATTAGCTGCATCGATAGTCTGTACCCATGGCTCTGAATTCAGAGCATAAGGGGCGATGAGGACCAACTGGCACTCCAGTTCCTACTCCAGGAAGGATCCTGAGCAGAGGGGGAGGAGAGAAAGTAATGGAATACCCATAGGGACTACACATCTCAAATAACTCAAGTTATGGTAAGGAAGCAACCTTTCTCTTCCTTTAAATAGTGGTCTCTGTGTGTATTCATTGTGAGTAACTTAAAGGAGGAGGATGGGAGGAGCTATGTTTTACCTCAGATACTGCAGGACTGCTGTGCCCCAGGATGCATCTGCACCAGGGTGTAATGTCTAGTAAAGGTGTGTACTGAACACTATGTTGCTGCTCTACAGATTTCTATGAGTGGTGTACCTTGGAGAGAAGTGACAGAGGTGGCTTGTGCTCTGGTCAAATGGGCCTTCATGCCTTGATGTGGGGGAAGAGTTTCCACTTGTTCACAACAAAGCAGAATGTAGCCTGAAATCAATTTCTGGAATTTTTGCAGTGAGATTGCTTTCCCCTTTCATCTGGTCAACAACAGAAACAAATAATCTCAGGGATTTCCTTTACAGGTAGAAAGCCATAGCTCTGTGGACATCTAGAGAATGGAGCATCTTGTCCTCTCTGGTGATATGAGATTTTGCATAGAAGACAGATAGATGTATGGATAGATTCAGATGGAATTTGGAGAGAACCTTTGGAATGAATTTGGGATATAATTTCAGTTTACCTTATCTTTATGGAACACGGTCTGCCATAAGTGCCCCAAATTTACCTAATTCTTCAGGCCATGGTGTTAGCCATCAGGACAGCCACTTTCATAGATAGATGGAGAAGAGAGCATGAGGCCAAAGTTTCAAATAATGAATTCATAAGTGCGGACAGACCAGATTAAGTTCCCAGTTAGGAGCTGGTTTTGATACCAGAGGAAAGGCTCTGATGAGACCCTTAAAAAAAATCTCACAGTCATAGGGTGGGTGAAGATTGAGCAGTTTTCTTCTCTTTACTGAGGATGGAGTGGACTTCCTCTGAGTATGACCTCTCTAGGTTTGTTGTCAGTCCAAATATCAGGCTGTGAGGTGAAGGGGTGTGTTGGTCGGTCTAGCCTTCATTTTGAGTGGGAAGCAGCTGTAACCATATACGAAGATGAGAGGTCATTTGGAGGATTCTGATGACCCAAAACTGTCTCAGCTACAAAGGGGCAACTAGGATTACTGTCGCTTTGTCCTGCTTGATCTTATTAAGGACATGAGGTTAGAGGGGGATGAGTGGGAAAACATACATTTCTGCTGCAGTGTACTCTTTGGTATTTCTTGGAAGGTTCAGTGGCCTTCTGATGGTAAAATGGCTGATGAGAAGGATGTTGTCTGTATGAAGGTAGTTTGGAGTACTTCTTCCGAGGTGCTGGGGTGTGTGCCCCAAGGACCTGTGGGTTGCCCAGGAGTCTTTGAGGGTGTGTAACAACTCACCAGTTGCCATGGAGTGGGAAGCTATGTCAGCTGCATCTAACGCTGACTGGAGGAACAATCAGTTATCAGCTTATCCTTCATCAAAAATAGCCGGAAATTGAGGCCTGAGTTCCTATAGAAGCTAGTTAGCAAACTCAGACAATTTATTTTAGTGAATAAAGTAATATTTAGACATCAGTGCCAATTCATTATATGAAATTGTAGGTTGGTGGAAGAGAAACTTTCTTCCAAGGCCCTCCAATTTTCTGGCATCTTTGTTGGAAGGAGTGGATCTAGGCTGGTGGAGTCTGTTGAATTCAGTGACTGCCTGGACCACTAAGGAATTTGGGGCAGGATGGGAAAACAAATACTGTGCTCTTTAGATGGAACAAAGTATCTTTTCTCCATCTTTTTCAGAATGAAGGCGTGGAGGGCTGGATTGTGCCAAATTGTCTTGGCTGGTTCCAATATGGTTAGTTGACTGGAAGTGCCTACTTGCTATGTTCTAGAGGATGTCCAGCAGCTTGAGGATAGGGTCCTGAACTTCCTCCAGGGGACTCTGGAGAGCCCCTGCAATCTTCCTCAGGAGGTTCTGAAATTTTATGTGATCATCAGGTGGCAATGGTGAGGCCAGTGCAACTGCCTCATTAGGAGATGAGGACAAGAGAGCTGCAGGTGGATTGAGTGGACATGGTTGCTTGGGCTGTTCCTCCTCCTCCTCATAGCACTCCTGAGGGGGCTGAAGCTCTTCTCTGGAAGGTGATCTCTAACTCCTGCTCAGATCTCTTGAAGTCAGGAGATCTATAGTATGGATTCCAAGTGTCCCAGTAGGTCCAATATGTGGGCTCTTATGGTTACAGAGATGGTGCCCTCTGTACCCTTATGAGTTTGGTGAGGGTACCATTGGTTCTACACCTGATAGTTTATTTTATGAGAGTGAAAGGGTGCCCAGGAGACTCTGGAACCTCTGTTGGGGGTAATCTTGCTTCTCACACTGGTTTGAAGACCCACTACATTGGCCTCAAACCTGCTGGAGGAGCATGAGACTTTGGATTCTAGAGGTGAAGCTGTTGGTACCACATCTCATGATACTGTGGCTGGTAGATAGGACCAGTGAATAGCACAGCGACTATGTAGCCCCTCTGGGAATGATCAGTTCTGAGAGTATTGTCAACTCTGGGTCAGTATAAACTGCTAGGTCATGGAGGATGGTATAACCAGGTTGAGCAGATGGAGAGTGAGAGGGACTTCAGTCTCTAGGCAGAACCATCAGTGCAGAGTTGTGTTGATCTTCAGTATCACCTGCTGTGTGTTGGGACCACTGAGTCCTCCTTGTGGTGTGGTACTGCCGGTACATTCAGTGATTGATTCTTTTTCTCCCTTGGCGGTGCTCTGGTTGGTCCTTCCCACTCTCCCACCCCACGCACAGGCAGTGGTTTTGGAGTATACTTGGTTCTCAATGCCCCCAGTACTGACCCTTGCTCCTTGTGAGCTTCAGACATGCCCATACTGGGGTGCGGACTCTCACCTGTCTGACTGGGAGGGATTTCTCCTGCTTCTTATGAGGATGCTTCTTTACTCTCCTCTCATCTCTGCCTACTAGAGTCCCCATAGGACGAGGGAATGTCAAGTCTGGAAGGGCACTACTTCGTGGTTCCTATGTACAGGGGGGTTAGAAGGTCCAGGATCAGACTGGGGCCTCATGGAATGCTCCATCATGTCTTCAGAGTTGGCATTTGAATGTTTGTTGTATATGAGGTGGAAAAGAACCTGGAGGGAACATGATCCTCCCATGGCAATATAAGCAGGAGTCATGGGGATCACTGACTGGGAAGACCCAGGGACAGGCTATGCAGCACTTGAAGCCCAGGGATCTTGGGCATACTAGGTTCCCCCGAACTGTGAGAGCAATTGGGTTGGGGGAACCCCTAATCCCAAAATTGCCATCTAACTATATGTTAAAACTAACTACCCAAATATAAAGTTATTTACCATTAAAAAAAAAATGATTAGGAAGGCAGGAACACTAGGACAGCTTCAGACACTGAGGAATAACAGCTAAAGTACCAGTTTAGCAGCTGGGACCTTGGTTGATAAATTCCATGTTACTGTAGGCTGGTCATTAAAATTGTAATTTATTTTAAACCAGTTCATTATATATAAACTAAATTGTATAAATGGACTATTTTTTGTTGTTGTTATAGGAAATGCATCATTTTGAGGAGGAATTAACTTGTTCCATTTGCTATAGTATATTTGAAGACCCACGTGTACTACCATGTTCTCACACATTTTGTAGAAATTGTCTGGAAAGCATTCTTCAGCTATCAAGCAACTTTTCCATATGGAGACCACTAAGACTTCCACTGAAGTGTCCCAACTGTAGAAGTATTGTTGAAATTCCTCCATCTGGTACTGAGTCATTACCTATCAACTTTGCATTAAAGGCTATCATTGACAAATATCAGCAAGAAGACCACCCAGATGTTGCAACATGTAGTGAACATTATAGGCAGCCATTAAACGTTTATTGTCTTTTGGATAGAAAATTAGTGTGTGGCCATTGTCTTACAATAGGTAAACATCATGGTCATCCCATAGATGACCTTCAGAGTGCCTACATGAAAGAAAAGGAGACTCCTGGGAAACTCCTTGAGCAATTAACTGATGAACATTGGACTAATGTATGTTTCCTCATTGAAAAATTGGAAGAACAGAAATCTTATTGTGAAAACATTGTTCAAGATGATAAGAAAGCTGTATTGCAATATTTTAAGAAACTTAATGACACACTGGAGCATAAAAAGCAAGCTTTGCTAGCTGCTTTGGATGAAGTTAATGCTCACATTTCTGAAGAATATGCACCACTCGTTGAAAACATGAAAAGAATCAGAGAAGAACAGCTTGATTTAATGTCACTGAACACATCTGTTCAAGAAGAGGAGTCTCCACTTCTTTTCCTTGAAAAGGTTGATGATGTGCGCCAACGCATAAAAGCTTTGAAACAAAAGCAACTACCAGATATCAAACCTGTTGAAGTTTATCCACGAATAGGACAGCTATTGAAGGATGTGTGGTCCAAAACTGAAATTGGTCAGATTAACAAGATCCTCACTCCAAAAATAAAGCTGATTTCAAAAGGGAAGGTATGCCACAAAGGCAGTGAGAAGGAAAGAGGACAGTCTAAGGAATTTTTGCTCCAGTCTATAAACCCTCTAACAGTGATGTTAATTTCTATGACGATAGTGATAATTATGATTTCATTTACTAAACCTGTATTGTCAGTTGTAAATGAAGTAACTTTGATCTATATTTCAGACATCTTGCAGTTTGTTTATCAAGATCTATGCAACAACTTGCAGGCAGTAATGGAAATGCTATGCCATACATCTAATTTACTGATGGAATTCATGGGGAGAATTGTTTCTTTTTCTTTCTGAGTATCTGAAATACTGAGATTAGCAGTTAGGATAATTATAGGAATTGTTGTTATGTCTGAACTCTTGTACAAGGCTTTTTTTTTTTTAGTTTTTATCTAAATGCTATTGAAATAATAGATCCTTTACAAAAAATTTAAACTGGTTCTCTAGATTAATTAGTCCCAGAATCCGTACACCGGATCACCCCCATCTGCAGAAATATGTGAAGGACAAGACTGAAGAGTGTGTGGGGCAGGGTTCTCTCTTAATACCCCAATTTTCCCCTTATCTTTTCCTGTCCTTTGCTCCCACTACCCTGCCCATTTCTGAATCTCTGCTTTTTGCTGATTATCGTTCAACTCAATGAGAGCTGGATGGTAATTCCTCCTAAAGTAGTATGTACCACTCTTCAGTTGCATGTAAGGGGTCACAGTCAAATACATTGCTACTTCATCAGTTGCCCATACTAATTTGTAATGTAGGAGAGCCTAAAGATACTAAACATACATCTCCAGGAAAAAAATCAAGAACAAGTCAGAACTGATGCATATTATCTCTAAGAAAGCCATAAGTTCACAGATTCCAACCTAGGAAAGGCAGTTTCCAACAGACTGTAACTACTTCTCAAGCATCTACTACCCAGTCCGTTCTTTAAACTAATTTTTTAGGTAGGGTGTGGCTAAAAGTACCACAGAATTAAATATGGGAAGAGAAGACAAATCCTAGAGTTTCAGACATTAAAACTGAGCTGGGTAAATCAGTGTTGAGCCAGTCATTGGCTCCAGTGTACAAAAAGTGTATATTATAAGTATTTGTATATTGCATTTTAGTAGACCTACTACACTATCTACAGTGAAACCATTTTTTGGTCATTAAATCATTTATGAAATGACTGGGGTTCATCCTGTTGGCTCCAGGCTGTTAGTTGGATCATATTGCTTCAAGTTTCCTTATGTACATCATGCATAAGTGATCTTGTATCTTTCAAGTAGATGCGGGTGCTACTCTAAAACTTTTGGGATAATATTCCTTGGTAAAATATAAAAGTACAGTCCTGAAAAGTGCTGAATGTGTGCTGCTTTACTAAATGACATAAATATGCAAGCAAGAAATTCTAGTTAAGATATGGGGTGAAATCCTGCACTGTAGTAAATGGCAGAACACCCACAGACTTCACTGGGGCCAGGATTTCATCTTATTTATTTATTTTTTAAAGAAAAAGCTGTAAAAAATAATGTGAAAATGCAGTGTAAATGTCTTCTTAAATATTACTGCACATACATTTAATTTGAAATGTAGTCTACTTTACTCTGAAACAAAAATGTTGACACCCTTCCTCTATAATCAAATTAAGTGTAGTATATTCCATTAGTTAAAATACAAGGGACTGATTATGTCCCCACTGAAGTTAATTTTTAATAGGTTGATTGATTTACACTTAACAGTGAAGATTTCCCAGTAGCATGAGTCTTTGGATTGATGCTATGGGAATAACTCAGCACACATGAGCTCCAAATGGTAGGTTAATTTTGATGCCAGTTCTTTTTTTTTTTTTTAAAAAAAAGATTTTTAAAAATACTGTTTGCAACATATCAACAAATGTGTTTTTAGTTTTTTAAAAAAAGTTCATTTAAACGCAACATGCCCACTTAAACTAAGCGATTAGCATTCATGTAGCACTTCACATTTTAAAAGCCTTATTTAAAAAAAAACATACATATTCAAGGCATGATCCTGCAAAATGCCAAGAACCTTCAATTCCCATTCACTTCAGTGGGAGTTGAGGATGGTCAGCATCTCACAGTATCAAACCCCAAGTTAAAGCATTAGTAGTCTTAACTGTCAGTGTTGGGCATGTTCAACACCAACCAGGATTGGGCCCTTGATCCTGTAAAATGGTATTTTAAGCGATCGTTCTTGTACCATACAAACCAGGCTCTACATACCAACTAGCAATTTGTGCACTCAATTTTAAAACTCAGGCCCAAAATGTAGAGTTTAAAAAAACCCAACCCACAATGTAATACTTAGAAGTGTTTGTGATTATTTTATAAAAGAAATTATAATAGTATATCTTTGTTTAGAGCTGGAAATGCCTCTGTAACAGAGTTTACAATCTGAACAAAGTAGCAGTATGTTAGGTCAGGAAAATGGAAAGTAAAACTAATTTTTTTCATTGTTCAGCCAGAAAGTAATGGAAATAAGCAGCCAGCATAAAGAGGAATCCAATCAATTTTATGCAGAGGTGTGTTTCTAAAAAGTTACATTTGAGGTAAGGCTAGCAGTGGGTAGAAACTTCTGTTTTGGATGGGAAGTGGGGGGGTTTGGATCACTGCATATTAAGCACAGTTCTGTATTAAAGTATACAAATTCATCTAATCTCAATATATGGAGGATTTTCTTAATTCCCATTAATACTAAGGGCCAGATTTTTAAAGGTATTTAGGCATCTAATGATACAGATAGGCACCTAGTGGAATTTTCAAAAGTACCTAGGCGCCTAATTTCAATGACCGTAAGTGTCTGTTTGGATCTCTTCTCTCAGAATGTCTTGTATATTAGTTTCCTGATTTAAATATTTTACAAATATGTTTATAATTCAATTTTACTTTTCCAGATGACATGGATTATTTAGAAAATGTCATTGTAACATTTGATTTTAAAATTCAGAATCTATATTTATTGATGTACTGGATATTTTAATAAATCTATCTAAAAACATATGTTGGGGAAGTGGGTACCTCTTATTCTCTCACCCCATGTAACCACCTTTAATTCAACACCAAACTGGAATGGTGGGTTGAACTGATGTCATGAGAGATGGAAGAAGTTACTCACCTTGTACAATAATGATGTTTTTCAAGATGTATCCCCCATAGATGTATCACTGTAAGTGTGTCCGCGTCCCTGCACTACTGATTGGAGAACTTTGGTAGCAGTGTCCATGCAGCCCATGCGTGCAACCCTCCTCAGTTCTTTCTTGATTGCCCCGGGCTAGAGACGGAGCTATAGCTGTCTGTTCACTGATTGTTAATTCTTTTAGAATTGCTAGTTTTTAGGTTCCCTCAAAGCTTTTTCTTTGTTACTCGGTTTGTATTTTATTTGGCCCTGCCTAAAAAAAAAGAGAGAGAGAGAGAGAAGAACAGAGAAAAAAAGAAAAGGGCTTGTTTCCTGCCAACCCCAGTGGGTGGGGAACCTCCCTGGACAAGGGTGTGTACGACTCAGAAAGAATCCATCCCAGTGACCAGCAGACACTTGCAGTGTGTTCACTGCCTGGGAGAGAAGCACATTCCAAAAAAGTGTAGCTTGTGTCAGCAACTGAAGCCCAGATCCAGCAGAGAGCTAAGACTCAAACTCCTACTCATGAAGCCAGCCTTCAACCCCTGGTGTCCTGGCAGGAGCTCTCACCACAACTCTCTACTTTGAAGGGAGGTGAGCCCAGAGAGATGATCCACTCTTATAAGGCCTCTAAGAAAAGGTCAGTGAGTCCCCATAGCGAACCCCGATTGAGCTGAAAATGATCTCTGGCTTGATCAGTATCATCGATACTGACAGCGCCGAAGCCATCTAAATCTGCTACGCGTGGCATGCATGGTATCGAGTTGATGGAGCAAGTCATGGGCACCCCTCTCTTCTCACCCCATATAACCCCCTTTAACTCAATACCAGGCTTGAAGCTGGGTTAAACCAATGTTATCGAAGCAAGTAGTTTGACAGTGCGGATTACAGATTCCATCTAGCCTTTCTAAATTCCCCATTCTTCTCTGTAGAGTGAATTGCAGAAAGATGCTCCCACTCGTTTGTCTAGAAAATGTTAAAGTAACTGATAGATTAAAATTTCTCTCTGGAGGGGCGTATCATACTTTAATTAGGTCTGTTAGCATTAGAGATCCTGAGAATAAAAAAAATTGACTGTCTTTGGCACCAGTTTTACTTCAGACTTTCCAGCTCCAATGGCTCTGAGCTGGAATAACAGCCAGCAAAAGCTCCAGAAGAAGTAAAAACCTTGTTTCTACATATAACTTCACTTACTGAGAAATTATTTTGTAGCCCTGTTTCTGCTGCCAAACATAGCATGCCTTCAGCTAAGGCCTTTGGTGAAGAAATAATAAAATTTGTACCCCTACCAGGCTTTTTCTTGTACAGTGGGCTGTACAGGATTATAGGAGAGCTGTGCTTTGCAGGAAGGCCAGGTGGATCTTATATTTTGGACATTTGGTATAGGTGTTACCATTTAATTTCTGTACCATTATAAACAGCTCTATAGCTCTGCACTTTTAAATAAATCTGTTTGTTTTTTATGCCCTTTTTCACTCTTGAAAAGAGCACTTCCCAGATATCTTCTTTTCCCCATCTTTGGAGATTATTTTTACAGGAGGAAAATAGATATTAATAGTTGCAGACAAACCAAAGCTGAACACTTGTCTTCAGTTGTGTTTGCCATGTAGTTGTTCAGAGACATTTCAGGATGAGCTTAAACCTAAAACTTAATGAGTTTATTATTAAAGTGCACATTACAGAATCCTGCAATCCCATCATTTATAGTTTCTATTTGAAGACAGCTCCAGGGGTCCCATATTAAGGGGATCTGAGGATGAGGGGAAGAGTAGGTACAACCCCTTTGGAAAAGACTTTGAATTCCATGGGGAAGGAGGGAGATAATACAGTCACCAGATGAGACAAGCCAATCAGCCCCTCCCCCACTGGTTGATTATTTCAGAGCCTTCCAGAATTCCCCTTGCATGGATCACAGAGACCCTGGCTATAGAGATGATGGTCATTCAAGAAAAGTCATAAACTAACATTCTTCTTTGAGTGCTTGCTCATCTCTATTTCATTCTTGGTGTGCGCGCACCCATGTGTGCAGTCGTCGGAGATATTTGCCTTAGTACTATCCTTAGAGCCAACTTGTGGTGCCCCCTTGAGTGGCGCGATCATGCGTCAGTATATCTCTACGTGCCCTACGCCCGCTCAGTTCCTTCTTACTGCATGTGATGGTTAGTTGGAGCATCTCTTCTCACTTTGAGCCGTATGGCCTTGTAAATAGTTTTTTATAGTAGTTAGTGTTAAGTATTTAAGTATAGTTAGGAGTTAGAAATTAGAGTCCCAGTGGGGACTTTGTCCCCAGTCTCCGGGGTTTAAGCCCTCTGCGGACTGCAACAGGCCTATGCCTGTAAGTGACCCCCACAGCAGCTGCCTCAAGTATTTGGGGAAATCATGTGAAGGACAAGTGTCGTATTTGTAAATATTTTCGACACAGGACTCGGAAAGAGTGGGATATTTGTTTGTGGGCTCTCCTCCTGGAGGCTGCCCTTCATTTACCTTCCGAGTCATGCCTCCAAGACTTGGCTAGTACCTCAGCCTTGATTCGCAGCGCAACCCCGGCACGGAGCTCAGCTGGCACCGCTCCCTGTTGCTGGTGTCCAGAAAGAAAATGAAGACGCACAGCTCCCCAGCACCAGGCAAGAAAGGCCATGGAGCATCGTGCAAAGGACCCAGTTTGTGCTGCCCTGCCACTCCGGAGCCACGTGGGCATGCCTCCCTAGTCACGGCCTTTAGCCCCTTAAAGGATCCACCACTGACTCCTGGGAGCGATAGGGGACCCAAGCTTTGGACGGCATCGATGCCTTCCCAAGCTCCACCAGTACTGAGAGAGCAGAGGCCTCTGCCCACGCCACCAGCACAGCAGGAAGCGGCAAAGGCTCCCTGTGAGGGCAAACCAGCCACTAAGACCTATGGGTGCAGTGGAGCACCACCAATCCCCTGAGACAAGGCAGCATTCTCCATCTCCGTGCCGCAGGTCTCCAGCGTCACAGACCACGTCCTCTGGGGCTCAGCCTTGGTCACCAGAATTGCGATCATGGTCCCCGCCATCTCAACACGGATCATCTTGGGGGAGGCGCCAGTCTCCATTCCACCGGCACCATTCGCCCTCCCACCGGTCATCCTCTCGGTGCAGATCTTGCTCACCTGCGCCGTGGGAGCACTCCTCGTTGCAATTCTGGTCCCCTGGCCAATCCTCCCACTCCAAACACCGGTCTCTAGTGGCGATAGGCAGCGGGAAGAGACAGCGGTGACGGCCTCACCGTAGTCACTGGAAGGGGATTCCTCCAGCACGGAAGGGCAATTCAGCCCCTCGCCAAGACCGCACCAGTTTGAATGGGCACCTGAGGCTGCATCGACATCTACAGCGTCAACTTGGCAGCATGGCCAGTGGTCAGCGCGGTGGCCTTATTGGAGTGTGTTGGGCATGCCAGATGATGCCCCCTTTACACCACTCATCTGCCACTGCCTCGGAGCAACAGCTGGCAGCACCGGCTTCAGTGCATGAGATGAGCTTGGAGGTTGAGGTAGAGGAGACAGCGCTCACCCCAAAACTCCCCTCCCCTACAGGGGATAATGCCCCGGAGCCTCCCTTGGTGATAGTCATCATCCTCATCCTTAGCTGAGGTGGTCGTGGGATCCTCGAGGGCCAGCCCATGAGACAATTTTCTGCTTCGATGGGTTGCCGAGAACTTGAGCCTAGAGATGGAGGAGCTGGCCAAGCAAGCAGACACTTGTTCAGTGTCCTCTCAGCCTCTACCCTGGCATGTGTTGCATTACAAGTACATGACGGGGTCCTGAAAATTGCCTCTGGCAAACCCCATCATCCATCCCTCCCCAGCTCCAAAAGGCCTGAGAAGAAGTACTTCATCCTAGCCAAAGGGTTCAAGTACCTTTATACCCACCCACCTCTAGGCTCGCTGGTTGTCTCTGTGGCCAACAAAAAAGTAAAACTGGAGCACAGTAGTTCAACTTCTAAAAATAAAGAGGCCAAAAGACTGGACCTTTTTGGGAGAAAAATTTATTCAACAGCAAGCCTGCAATTCTGGGTGGCGAACCATCAGGCCCTCTTGGACAGGTACAATTTTAACTTTTGAGACTTGCTTCGTAAGTTCAAGAAGTCCCTCCCCTCAGGGTCTGGCCCAGAAATTTGGCACCGGGGTGTAGGAAAGCACCGTGATGGCTAGGAGCTCTCTCCAGATGATGTGGGACGTGACAGACTTGGTGGCTAGGGTGGTTGCAGCGGCAGTGGTCATGCAGTGCAGCTCCTGGCTTCAGACTGCTTGTCTGTCCCAAGAGATGCAGACCTCTATCCAGGACCTCCCATTCAAAGGGAACAGTCTCTTTTCGGAGCAGACTGATATGAGCCTGCATGGATTAAAGGACACTTGGGCCTGATGGTTCGTCAGCGCCTGCTGCCATGTAGATGGAACCAGGGGCCAGAGACTGAAGCCCTGCAGCTGGAGGCCAGGGCTGCAAGGCCAGAGCTGGGATAGGGAGGTCAGTACCTGCTTCCTCGCTGTCAGAGTCCAGGACCGCCCGCCCAGGCTCCAGCAGTGGGATTTCAGGAACCTGCCGCCCAAACCCCCTCCCACCAACATGTGTTGAGAACTCATCTTGCTCCTGCAGCATTGTGCCCCAACTCTCTCCAGAGGCGGTGCATCCAGGAGCAACAAGGAGGGAGGGGGAGGAGCCAATGCTTTGCCCCCATCCTCCCGTCATCACCAAGGAGGCTGTCATGGCCGCACAAAAAGCCCATGGTGGCCGCACTTGAGAAATGTTGTGCTAAGGAGTCCCCTTCAGTCCCTGCCATAAATATAAAGGGAAGGGTAACCACCTTTCTGTATACAGTGCTATAAAATCCCTCCTGGCCAGAGGCAAAGTCCTTTTACCTGTAAAG